ATAGATTTGATTCTGGGGTTATTATATTAAAACCCAACAAACTGCTGCTGCAGCAGCTGCTGCAGCAGCTGCTGCAGCAGCAGCTGCAGCAGCAACAGCAGCAGCAGAGCTTGCTGCAGCAGAACAAACTGCAGCAGCAAATATTTACGAATATACAGCAGCAGCAGCAGCATGGGCTGCAGCAGTCACACACACGTCGTATATCATCACCTGCTGCTCTTGCTGCTGCTGCTCCTGCTGCTGCTGCTGCTGCTGCTGCTGCTGCTCCTGCTGCTGCTGCTTCTGCCGAAGGAGAATGGAAGGCAGCGAGCCGCAAGGTCCGCAGCAGCAGCAATCTGCACAGCAGCAAAAGCAGCAGCAGCAGCAGCAGCAGCAGCATGGCTGAGCAGCAACCCAGAGCAGCAGCAGCAGCAGCAGCAGCAGCAGCAGCAGATAGATGTTCTGTTACGGTTACTCTCGCCCCTCCTGCAGCAGGTCCCCTCAAAGGAAAGGAGACACCTTCTGTAGGAGACACTGCAGCAGCAGCAGCAGCAGCAGCAGCAGCAACAGCAGCAACAGCAGCAGCAGCAGCAGCAGCAGGACCTGCAGCGAGACTCCCGTCAACGCTATCAGGCACGATGCAGCAGAAGCAGCAGCAACAGCAACAGCAGCAGCAGCAGCAGCAGCAGCAGCAAGAGGAGCAGCAGGAGCAGCAGCAACATATAAACGAAATAAATTTTAATATATTTTTAAATAAATTTTTCTCTTCTTGGTTTACGTGGGAGTCTCCTCATAGACTCCCCTTCAGATACAACGCGCAGCACACAATGCTGCAGTATATGGGGGGCTGGGCCTTTGCTGCTGCTCCTGCTGCTGCTGCTGCTGCTCCTGCTGCTGCTGCTGCTGCTGCTCCTGCTGCTGCTGCTGCTGGGGGTGTTTGTAAGGAAACTGAGACAACCCCTAACAGCCCTGCAGCTACAAGAAGGGGCCCCCGGGGGGCCCCCTCGCGAGAAGGGGGGCCCCGTGGGGGCCCCTCTCAGGACAGCGGGGGAACCCCGAGGGGGCCCCCCTCTCAGGAGGAGGAGCCCCCTGGGGCCCCTGGCAGCCCTGGGGGCCCTGGCAGCCCTGCCAGCACTGGCAGCCCTGGGGGCCCGGGGGCCCCTGGGGCCCCTGGCAGCCCTGGGGGCCCTGGGGGCCCGGGGGCCCCTGGGGGCCCTGGGGGTCCGGGGGCCACTGCGGGCCCGGGGGGCTCTGGGGGCTCTGGGGCCCCTGGGGGCCCTGGGGGCCCTGGGGGCCCCGGGGGCCCCGGGGGGCCCCCGTGTCGCGTGGAGAGCCGCCGTTTGTTTGGGTATTCTTCTGGGGGTTTAGCGCGGGAGCTGTCTTTGGCTTTTCAGCGGCTGGAGAGTTCAAGTCTTAACAAAGAGAAAGAGAAGAGAAGAGAAGGAGAAGAGAAAGAAGAGAGAGAGAGAGAGAGAGGGAGAGAGGAGACAAAGGAGACAGAGACAACACCCCACACATGTGTTGGGATCGGATCCCATGACCTGGGGATCGTCTCCTCCATCGATCGATCCCTCTCTTCTATCAACAGCGATGCATCATCCGTGGGGGGTGAGGGGCTGCTGCTCTCTGGCTCTCTGCTGCCTATGCGGCTGGTGGTGGGGGCAATGAAGGACCTAGTTGAGGAGCTGGGAGAGGGGCCCCGGGGCCCCCGGCTCAAGAGGGTCCTCAGGAGGTGTCTCCGCTGCTGTCTCCTCTTCTGCTTCTTCTATCTTATCGGACCCTCTCAGCGCCCCCAGCAGCAGCAGCAGCAGCAGCAGCATCAGCAGGAGCAGCAGCAGCAACATCAGCAGCATCAGCAGCAGCAGCAGCATGAGCAGCAGCAGCAGCAGCTCAGTTTCTCTTGACTCTCCCCTTTCTGTTAGTTCTAGTGAAGAGTCTGAGGGGGGCCCCGTGTGTGTGGGGTCGTTGAGCAGCATGAGTTCATACTTAAGCAGCCCGCGGGAGGAGAC